TGAGTCAAGAAAACTACCCGGCAAATCCCTAAAGAGTGGTAAATATTTCCTCTACTTCTGGCCTCTTTAATCGAGTATAAATTGATTTGGTTAGTTAAGTCAACTTCGATGCATGTGAGTATTTGCATGCACCGGTGAATTTTATTGACTGGTTAGCTTGAATTTTGTGGTGACCATGTTACCTCGCTCTGATGATGTCCGTCATATGACGGACGAAAGCTTAGCACCTTTTCACCGGAATCAAAGGGAATGCCTTGGAAACAGCGTCAGCATGAATCTTCCAGTCAGGCCAATCGCCAGCTGGTCAAGAGGAATCCGCCGTCGTCTTCCGGTGGAACCGACTTTCGAATCTCTTCACTGTAAACACTTTCACTCAAAATGGAAGTAAGCTCAACAATTGTGAAACAAGAGATTCCTCAAAACCCAACTTTTCTTCTCATATTCTCTTCGTATATACACAAACTCAGGTGCAGAGTTCCAGAGCACTGAAGAAGAGAACTAAACAAATCGTTCTATAGAAGTGGGTTGACCTCGTTGCCGCTACTTGGTCTTGTTGTCAGGGCGACTATGTAGAACGCACCTAGTCCGAAGTCGTCTGATGCTTCCCAGCATCAGGCAGTTGACTTGGTACATTCTCAAACGTTTCGCCGGCATCGTAGTCGGCATCAACAGTCAGTTTTGCCATTCGCCGCTCCAAGTTACGAACTCGTCAAAAAGACAAGGATTGACTTCACTTGGTGCGCAGAATGGCAAAACTGACTGATGATGCCGACTACGATGCCGGCGAAACGTTTAAAAATGTACCAAGTCAACTGGCTGATGCTGGGAATCATGACAACTACAATGGCAGAGGACTTCGGTCTAGGTGCGCTCTGCCAAGTCGCCCTGACAACAAGACCAAGTTGCGACAACGAGATCAACTCACTTCTATCAATCGAAAGGAGACTGCGACGATTCCAGAGGCCACAACATCTTGGTCTTCATATCTTCAAATCGTTCTATGTCTATCTATCTATCTATATATCCACATGTAGGTGATTTCATGTATGAATATGGATAGAATAGAGCCGTATGGCCTTCTTGGCTTGTTTGTAACTAAATTCTTTTGTTTTTCGTTTGTAAGTAGCGTTTCGAGGCTACCAGTAGAATATTTATACATGAAGTATATTCACTCCATTTCGTTTAGGGCGCTAAGAAGACTGGTAGTTGGATTTTCCCACAATCATATGACTAGCCGTTCCGTTTCCATCGAATGTAATGCAGCCTTACTTCTCAAAAGGTATTCTCTTCCCGGCTGAAGTGGACTGCAGTTCTGACCTCGCCCTTACTACTCTTATTACCACCTCTAGCGGGAATCGAACCATGACAGTATAGCATAAAATAGTGCCACAAGTGAGGCCAGGCATTTTTTCACATTTCACACATTCTGCGGTGGGATTGAGGATAAAGCAAAGCAGTATTTTCTATGGCACTCGACAATATCACTTATCTTTTGAAAAATAAAAGTTAGGTTTTTACGAATCTCTTCTTTCATAACATTACTTTTGCCGTTATAAACACTTTGAGCCGTCACTTGCTTGCGAATACACACATGCGCATACACATACACATACAGAGAAAGGCACACTCACATGCTTCGAGGTTGACAATGGCTGGAGCTAACCAAATCAGTTGATACTTCATCAAAGAAGTCAGATATAGAGTATATATACACACTTTTATGAATGAGACGGTGAGTTTTCTTGACTCTGCGGATGTTAGTCATAGGACGAAGGAAAGCTAGGCACATTTTCACACGAGTCGAAGAAGATTTCTTCTGAAACTGCTTCCACAAGAATGTTCCAATAAAACTAATCGACGGTTGGCCAAGTGGAAACAGTTGTCGTCTTCTTATGGGATTGACTTTTGAATATCTTCATTAGACACTTTTACTTGAAATGGAAGTAAGTTTTTTGTTTAGTTTTTTGTTTATAACATCTATAAACTGTCCATTATATGTTGGAGGAGAGTTGAGCCCGTCTCTACTTGAAACGAGCGCCAACCAAAAGGTTGTATTAAAGGCAGCCGACTGAAGGATGCCGCGAATGAGACATTGTCTTCCGACGAGATGAGCCAACGATCCTCTTCATTGAGCATCTGCACAC